GCCTTGGGAAACTCCCTCCTCCAAGCTACTGAAATCCAGGGGTAATAATTAACCAAGTTAAGTGTTGCACTGTAATTGTAGCTGTGCGCCCTTCACGGGGTACAAGTGTTAAAAATATTTGCATTTTAAGGCTCTTTCTTGAATCACTTTGCAAACATTTGCTCATATTTTGCTTTCGGCTGGAGGGATGAACAGCTTCCCTTGAAAGAGGTGCAGGAAATTGAATCTGAATTAACTAAAACTGTGAATGGGAAAAGGATTTAAATTAAAGGGGGGCAGGCCTGTTCCTTCGGAGCAGGGAAGCCTTTGGGGCTGGTAGTGGGAAGGTAGGAGGCTGCACTCCCGCTGCTGAAGAGGCAATGGAGCCTGGTGCCACAGCTTGTGACTGCTGTGAAAGGGTAAAACTGCAGAAAGGAGTGAGCGGGGAAAACCCCAGCTCTCTCCTGACACGGACTGGAAAGTCCTGTTTGGAAAATTGGACAAGGAGATGGTTCTGGGAAAATTTGAGTGCTGGAGCAAGGGGAGGGAGGGCAGTCAAACCTCCAGGATGTTGGGGGGAGTTTCTGTTTCAACCCCTCTGGACTTCAGCTTCTTACATTATGAACGATAAATGTGTCAGGGTTTAAAGGGAGCCTTTTGGCCCTGATGTTAATGCTTCAGAGAGTTGTTTGAAGGGATGGGGAGGTGAGAGGTGCCAGAGTGGTGACAGGCACTTCCTAGAGACAGGGAGAGGCTGTACAGCAGCTGTCCCGGTGGTGTGTGCCATCCTGGCTGGCGTGAGGGGACAGGACTTTCCTGCTCCCTTGTCCCTCGATATCCCATGTAGCTCTTGCTCCCCAGCAAAGCGCTGGCACTGGGAGCACAGCAATGCTGGAAAAATCCCTCCTCCACCCCCCTGAAGTGACGGTGGGCTTTCATCCAGGCAGAGGTTCCTCCCTGCCAGCCCTGCACTCTGTTCTGCAATTCATTCCTCTAGGAACAACCGAATGCTTAATTACTTCCACAGCTCAGCTTCTGCAGAAAAATTATCTATGCTGGGACCCTGCCTGGCCCAGAGTCCACTATCATGGAAGATTTTCCGTTAAAACAAGTCACAAATTGTACTTCTCCTCCTCCTCAGAGATCATGGTATCTTTCCTCAGGTTTTGTTACTGGTTTTACCTTTTTCTTTCCTCACTCAACAATTTTGCTCATCCAAATCCGAACTGAAAATGTGGGGCAAAGCCAGCAGCAGTGGGGCTGCCACTTTTGGGGATAGATTAAGGGTCCTGGTGGCCTCATTACCTCCTGGTGCATTGAGTCCTGCTGAGGCAGGCAAGTAGATGTGTTCAACAGGTAGGTGCAGGACACATGGTTGGTAAACACTGTCCATTGGCCCCTGTCTGGCCCTGTAGTTCTTTTCGGTGGGTAAAATGCTAAGTAGCCAATAGGGAGCCCCCTCCCAACATCAAAAGCCTGAAGGCTGAGGAGGAGGACAGCAAGAGTTAAGGCCCCCAAGTTAGGACTGCAGCCCCTCATGATGTCCAAACCCATCAGCAGGCAGGCGGGCAGGCAGCTCCCGGGACTGCCCATCCCACCTCTCTCTGCTGAGGGAGATGAGACACCCACACCTCTGTGTCAAAGAGCCCACACAGCCTAAGCTGCATGAGAGGAGCACACTGCACCATAACCCGAGAGCAGCAGAGCAAGCAGGCTGGGAGGGCGGCAAAAGGTTTTTGCTCATGACTGCAAAGGTCAGGCTGGCGCTGGCGCAAGTGGGAGGACGCAGCCTTCCTGTGCAATGTCCCTAGGTGCAGGGTTGCCTTTTGCCCTTGCTTTTAACACCTTCCAAAGGTGTAGTGAATGGAAAAGAAGGGTTCCCAATTTATTGGGGGAAAAATCAGGCCCTGGGCTCTGCTCTCCACCATTGCCTGCCTGGCAGCCTGTGTTTTGTCTGTCATCACCATAAGGCTCTTGAGAAGCTCAGGGCTGCTGCTGAGTGAGCTAAAAGGCAGGACAGCAGGGACTGAAGGCAGCCCCTGGGTTGTGGCTGGGGTGAGGGAGGACTGCATGTAGTTGGAGTGCAAAGAGGAAGAGGAGGGTGTGGGAGGAAATGGGGAGTTCAGCTCTTTGTGCGCAATATAAGGAAGTATGGGAATATCCCCGTGGGATTTACAAGAATGGGCAGCAGGGAAAAGCTGGAAATAAAAACGCAGCCTCATGCTCTGCAATGTCATGATGGATGAATGAGTTCATGGTGAGCTGGTGTTGCAAAGAGGAAGAGGGACCTGCGGAAAGGTGATAACCCTAGAAGAGTGAAAAGAGCAGGCAGAGGCAGATACAGGTGCCAAGGGCAGTAAGAGAGGAGGACACAGGCATGGCAGGAGCTGAGGAAAGGAGTGAGAGAGGGTCAGAGTCAGGAAACTAAGACCGAACTTCATGGGACCTAGATCTGCAGTAGCATGGCTGCTCTTGAAACTTGCTGAGCCATCCAGGGCAGGTGGCAAAGGTGCTGGGAGAGAATTTTGAACCCTGGGCGGGTGTGGGGAAGCACTGGCAGGAGGACAAGCAAGAAGAAGCTAGTGTGCACTGCTAATCGCAGCTGTGGCAGCTGAATAAGGAAAAAAGTGATGCTGGCAGAGCAAATTGGATTTCTTGCTCTGGGTCCTACAAATGCAACTGTGCAACATACCTGCCAGAGTGCCGAGGAGATAGCAAAACCAAAAACACTCAGAAGGCATAGGTGTGGAAAAGCTAGGGACAGGGTGGACATGCAGCAGTTAAGAGCTGTTAAGTTTGTAACCGGGGGTGTGGAGGGTGACCTACAGTGGACAATCTCATTGTATCACCAAGTTGAACAGGCAAAGCTCTGCACTGAGTAGCCCTACATTATCAATGCACAAATACACAACATGTCCCAGCCTATTTTGCTAATAAACACATGTTCTCACATTAATCTCTGTCCTACTTGCTTTACCTGTGGTTCCTCAGCATACGATACTCGGTTGCTTTTGCATGACTGGTGGAAGCAAACAGTAGCATAACCAGTGTGCGGTACCTAGGCAATGATTTGTTTAGCTGCAAAACTTCCTTGTACAGTAAAGCATTTGCTTTATTTATTAAGTTATTATAGAATTCTTGCAAGATTGTAGCAGCACCTTCCTAAGATACTGTTTGTCTAAATGTTGCAATGGGCAGCAGAGAACATACCCCTGCCTCGGAAACTACTCAGTGGACCTGGTACTACTGATAACTGCACTTTCCTCCCTCTCTCTGGCCTTCAAATAAACAGTATTTGCATTCAGATAGTATCTATTTAAATATTTGCATGCCAGGTCCAGCCATGTACGCGAGCACTTACAGAACACTGGTACCTATAGCTGGTGAATACCTCCGCAGAACTTTGGCAGCATTTCCAGCTCCTGTTTTGCAAAGGAAACTGAAGTGTAGCTAATGAGAGGAACATTGCCTTTTCTACTTCCAGCTGTGGCAATATTGTGTCTAGTCAAGAAGGGCTGAAAGTCACTCAGGATTCTTTGCCAGCAAAAACCCTGTAGCAGCAGGTGGGTAACTCCCCCCAGTCCCCATCCCCAGCTCAGATGTAGCAGTCATTCAGCGTGCAGGGTGAGTCTCCAAGAAGACAAAGGGTTTGGGAGATTCTTACTCAGTCCCACACCTGGAAAATTTTGCAGGTTTGCAACGCAGCCATGGCCCTGTCTGCCAGAAGGAAGTTTCAGTGCATGCACCTGGGCTATGCTCATGCAATGAGAGTGGAAGGGAAATAAAAATGACTCAGGATGACAATTTTATATAATCCTTTCCACAATGGCCTTTGGCTCCCATGCAAATTAGGAAGCACCCCGCCAACTCTGATGCTCTTCCTCATACCAGAGAGCCCTCCTTATAGCAGGTTGTGTGTCAAGAACCCCTCAGAAGAGCAGGGCAGAAAAGGGAATGTGAGTCCCTGTGCAACCTGGAGCCGTGGCCTTCTCCAGTGGCCTCAGCTGGGCCAGGTGCCAGCACCATAGAAGTCCCCTGGCCAACACTCTTGGCAGAGCTCAATTCTGCGTCAGCAGCTCTGACACACCCTGTCCCTGTCCAGGGGGTTACAGCACAGAAGGAACGGAACATGGTCACCCTTCACTCAACCCATCCTTCACGTGGTCACACAATGGGCTAAAATAAGTTCTGTGCTGCAACAATCTTCCAACAGATAATCAGGTGCAGGTGAGGATTTGAGCAAAGTGATTCTGTCTGCCTGAATGCTGGAGAGAAACACACAGGAACAACAGAAGCAGATCAAAGCCACATTGTCTACCACTCTGAATTAGACAAGGAGAGCTGTAGCTCCAGCAGCAGGGAGCCGGGGAGGCCCCACGCCTGAATTTCAGGGGTGGAAGGCAGCAGCACGTGTTCCCAGGCGTGTGCTCCCTCTTCCTGTGGAAATCCCCTTTGGAAAATTCAAAAGTGTCCAAGTTCAAACCAGAGCCAGGTGATAAACAAGAGGGTGAGCAGGCACGGGGCCGCACTGCAAACCTCCAGCCTCCACTGGCAAGTCCTGGCAAGAGCCGCAGAGTATTGGAGCTGGAACAAAAGGTGCCATGAGGGCGGGTGGGTGGGTGCTGCCACAGACGGCCTCAAAACCCCTTAGCCTGCTGCTTGGGTGATAGAGGGGGAATCCCAGCCCCCCAACCTGTCTGCCACAACGGGTGCAGGAAACGACACCTACGTCTGCTTCCAAAATTAGCTGCAGCAGAAGGGCTGAGAGCTGCCTAGATGTCTTTACCACTGCCGAGGTGAACCACCTAAAACCCCTGAACCTGTGACCCTATCACTCTACTAGGTGTTAAATGCTTCTTAAAAGGCTAACCAGGCAGATTCCCATGTATCTCAGGACAACAAGGTGGACAATGAACCATTTCACGGACAACGTACTGTAATCTGACTTTTTTTAATAAATACATATCTCACATGTACCAAAATAATTATAAACAAAAAATGTACAGTATTTACACAATATACAATTGCTAAAAAGTGTAGCAATTATGACACACATGGTGTGAAACGCGTTTGCAATGCCCACAGTTAACATTATTGCTACTTTCTCCTAACAGCCAGAAGGTCACCGGTGCCTTGGTTTGACTCCTCCACCTGGGATGCCGCACCAAGAGCAGCTGAGGTCAGTCAGTGAGGCCAGGGAGCACCACCAGCCCAACACAAATTAACACACAGTCTCCGAGAAGATGGGGTGCTGGTATGAGCCTGCCTTGCCACAAGAGGACACGTGTTCCTCATGGTACTTAACGCCATAAGATAGCTCTCTGTAACTAGCAGGCTGGATGTGTAGTCTGTTACCTTCGCAAGGTTGAGAAGACTGGCTATGTGGCTCTTTATCAGGTGGTGTCACATTTCTCTACAGATGTTACACATCCCAATCCTGTATTTAAACACAGGCCAGAACCTGGAACCGTCCTGTTACAATTACATGCTCCTTGCTGGACAGTGTAGTATTTCCCTCCGGGTCTTTCCCTCCGCATTGAGACTTTCTTTTTAAATGAAGAAAGTCAGTCCTTTTTCTATACATATGTACACAGTCACTTCTTTTCACAGAAAGCTCTGCTTTAAAATGCCAGCTGTCGTCCTCCGATAAGGCAGTCATCATATATAAGCTGAAAGAAAAAACACAAGGCTGTTAATGCAAAACTCTTGCTGGGAGTATTGAATCCACTTAGGGACAACTGCCAAATTCTGCTTGCCCTGACTTTGGCAGCGTATAAAATTTCAACACCAAAATGGTTACGTCTGCCATTTAACAGCACTGCGAATATTAGAAAAACAATTGCTGGGGAGGAGAAAACCACCAATTAACTTGAATTGTATCTCACAAGGTTCTGTAGGTGTCAGCAACAGAACGGTGTTCAGAGAACCATGTTGCGCGAAGTTAACCTCCGTTCCCTCATGTTATTTTTTACATTTTATTCTTAAATTTATTCTATTTATATGCTTGCCTCAACTGCCACCTTGTCGATGGCTGACAGCATAACCTTACTTTATGGGCTATTTATATACATCAGTTGCATAGGTAAGAGGTTACTGGATCATGCCATCAGAGTGGCACCAACCAAAAAAAAAAAAAACCTACAAAGGCCAGGATTTTCCCCTTCTCTTGGAAAAGGTGCAAATAGCTGCTTACTTCATCCTCTGTGAATTCAGGTTCCGATTCACTGCTCTCCTCATCCTCACTTTCTGGCAACATTTGCAGGTCGGTTGTGGTCAGCTGCTTCAGCTGTTCCTGTATGCTGGAGTTGTCTCTTCCCCATGTGAGCTGATAGGGGGAATAGCCCTGGTAGGTCACTTTGTTCACGTCCGCCCCATGTTTCACCAGAAGCGACACCAGGTCTGAATTCTGCAGGTCTACAGCCAAATGCAGTGCTGTTCTGCCATTGCATGGCTCCTGTATGAAAATAACACAAGGTTTGGCATGTTAGGAGAGCCAGAGTTGGTGCCTGTTGATTCTTATGACTACACAGCCCTGCTCAGTTAAATTCACAGTATACATTACATACCTGAGCATTTACATCTGCTCCCAAGGACAGCAAGTACTCAACAATAGCCAGGTATCCTTGAATAGATGCCAAATGGAGACAAGTATGTCCTGCAAAACACAAAAGAAGAGAAAATTTGAACAAGTCTAACCTAATGCCCTATCACTCAGTTAAAGTCAAGATGACAGGACAGGACAACATCTAAGTTTGCGATTCATCCATGGCAAAAGAGGGTTTTCCAGAAGAGCTTTCCGCTTCCAGTAAGGATGAATAACAGGGTTGGATTTTGGAAAGATTTCTTAGAGGCTTTATTCCAGTGTTTGACTGCAACTTATTGTAACCAAAACAAAAAAAGGAGCACTGCAAAAGTACTCACTAAAAATGCAAAATTCAAAGCCATGAGAGCAAATAATCAACAGTGAGGAGGCCTACATGACAGTGGCATTTTAAAGAAGTCAGACACTTCTGTGTGCTTTGGGCTCCTCAACTCTCAAACAGGCATAACAATCTTTCACCTCCTCTCCAGAAATCTTTGAGCTCTATGGGACAGCAACCTTGCCCTCAGTACAGCACACCAACATCGATGTACAGCAGCTTGCCCGTACCATTGTAGTTGGTCGCCTGCAGGACAGTGAGGAGGTGGTGCGGCTGGCAGTACTGCGTGAGGACACTGACGCTCCTGAGGGAGCCCTGCTGGCAGGCAATGTGCAGGGGGGTATTTCCTCGGAAGTCCCTGATTTCCAGGTCGCATCCAGCCTTCAGAAGATGCTCGGCAATTTCAGGCTGGTCGGTGATCACTGCCAGGTGAAGAGGAGTCTGCAGGCAAAAGAGAAAATGCAGACCTGTAAGTTACACTGCAAACTTGGCAGCAACATCTGGACAAACGGACCCCTCAACCACTGGTGACCTGTGCCCTCAATTAAAAAAACACTCCATAAACTCAGTTCTTTATTCTTCCCAACATATTGTACAGTTGCCCTTCAGTCTGGAAGTGATGAACTTAGGGCTCTCCAGATACTGAACAGTCAATCCATATGAAGGGTATCATTAACATCCCAATAAAGAGGGATGCAACCCATTGCATCATATTTGAAAAATGCGGGCGTTAAATGCCACTCTCGGGGAGAGGAAGCGTACTAACATCGGCTGGAGCCAGCTAGGGACCTGAATGTGGGCTTTGACTGAAGTAGGCTTTGACTTAATTGCTTCCATCGTTTTAAAAAAAAAAAAAAACCAAACCCAACCAAAATTAAAAAGGACT